TAACCCTATTCAAAAGAACTAAGAATTGTTATACTTCCAGTAAAAGCATTCCATAAAATAACGAACTATACAAAAGCAGAATTTAAAATTAAATTAAAGTCTAGATCCAGAAGAACATAGTTATAAATAGTCAACAGTTATATTCCTACTTCCCTATCAGGCTCTGATACCAGATAATCCGAAGTGGATCAAGTAAAAATAAAATAGACTGAAAGGAAAGTGGGCAGTAGCAGGACTACAATATGAGATGCAGAAATAAAATGCAGAAATTAAATATATAAATTTAAAACATAGAAACTAGAACGGCGGTATAAACAACACAGATCTAGTAGAGGGAGAAGGGAAGAAAGCCGGACGACGGTAGTCCGAACAGAACCGGCTAAAAGAAAGAAGAGAGGAAAATAATTTGAAACAGAAAACTTTTATTGAAACTTGGAGAAAAGCTTACAAAGATGTTATCTCAGAGCATTTCTCTCTAGTTTGTCTCTCTAAGATTGCTTAAACAAACGGTGCCTCACAACATGATCGAAGACTCCTTATATAGAAAATATTAAATACTGTTTCTACAGTTCCAGTTGATAACTGAAACTATTCCCTACAGTATAAGTCAAAGTTCTTGTATGTCGATTTTGAAGCAATCATTTTCATTTTGATAGATGTCATCATTATTTGTCTTGGAATCTTGTTTTGCAGAGGATTCAGCTTCATCTTGGTTTAGAGGAAGAAGCACTTCTTTCAAATTTTTCTTCATTTTTCTTTGGAATCACAACTTGACAAGAAGGCAACAATCTTGGATTTCTTATTTAAGAATTGAAATGTTGCTGGATCAACAAGTTTTAAGAGCTTTGGATTATTTCCAAAAAATTCATTAACTCCTTGAGGTCCTGCATGATCTGCATTAAATTGATTCTACCATTTCACAAAAGCATGTCTGTGAATCATAGGAAGAATGTCATCATCTTCTGTCTTGTTGTATCTGTACTGCCAAGAGAATACCCAGGCAAGAACAAAGGCAGAGAAATATTTGAGATCTACATTTATTCGGTTAGGAGCATATCTAGATTTGAACATTTCAAATCCTTCGTTTACAAAAGAAGGAAGAATTGCTTCTATAGGACCGAAGAAGTCCCACCATTGAAGAAACCAGTTTGAAAAGTTATAATCTTGATTCTTCTTGAAATAAATCAACTAAGAATGCCAATTGAGTTTATTTTGAAACCAGAAGGTCCTTGTCTAGGCATCAATATAGTCCCAGTAATTGTATCCTATTGGGTCAAAAGGTTGTGAAATTTTTTAAAATGAATTTAGGTCTTTTCCGAAATTTTTTGGTGTTAAGACCTTAAGTATCTGGATTATAGAATGGGTAATAATTGAGGAATCTTTTTGGTCCTTGTAATGCTTAATAGAAACAGAATCTGAATCAACTAAAATAAATTCATAAAATTGTCTAGTTTTATTTAAGGCATATGGTCTAAAATGAAAACCAGAGGGAAAAACTTTAGAAATTGCTTTATAGAGATTTTTATCCCAAAATTCATATTCCATCTGGATTACTGGGGAAAATTTTCCTTTAGCTAGGTAATGGGATGGATTTTGAGTTGATTTTTGTGTTTGCTTGTCTTTTTGAAGAATAGCAGTGTTACTGGTATCTTCTTGGGTAATTGTTTTGTTTAATGATTGGACTATGGTGTTTAGGTTGGATAAGTCTAACTCCATTTTATCTTCAGAAGCAATGTCTGCCCAAGATTTTTTTGGTAAAGTACTCAGGCTTCCTTGTTGGAGGGCCAATAGGGTACTGATGGGTAAAGCATAATCTGCTTTAGTTTGTTTGGTTATTTTGGTTTGAGAAGAATCATTCTTTTTAAAAGATTCTTTAGGAATTCTAGATTGTTGAGTGGATGACTCAATAATTTGGATGACTTTTTGAGTTGATGATTCAATTGGGGTTGATGACCCTAAAGAGATTGAATTTGAATCTGCTGAAGCAGATTTTGCTTTTGATTTTAAAGCTAGAGCTAGCTTGACTCTTCCTCGGCTGGTGGCTCCTCCTCTGGACGAGGTCGATGCCTTTCGAGGCATTCTATTTATCCTGTAAATATTTACGAGTGAGATAATCAGGAAGAGAATTAGAAATGTCTTTGAAATATTCAATTTCAAAATCAAAAGCACTTAGAATCGCTTGCCATCTAGCAAAAATTTGTTTAGAGGCAAGGTTTTTCACATCTTTTTGTAAAATTTCTTTTAAAGAAATTTTTGATTTAGTAAATCAGATTGAAATTTTGAAATACATAAAACAATTGCTAAAACTTTTTTTTTTTCATAGTTGAATAATTCTGTTGTGTAAAATTCCAATGTTTTGAAGTATATGCAATGATATGCTCATGGGAACTGACTCTTTATTTGAGAATGCCCCCATACCTTATATCAGAAGCATCTATTTTAATAATTTTGAAAGCTTGAGGGATGGGAAGATAAAGACACTTTATTTCCTTAACCTTGGTTTTAATTTCTTTGACTACATCAGTGTGAATGTCAGTCCATAAGGGAGGGTTTTTCTTAAGCCTATCATGTAAAGGCTTAATGATGTTGTTGAGATGAGGAATAAAATCACCCACATAATTTAGACATCCTAAAAACTTTTGAAGTTGGGTTTTATCCAAGATTTTGTCAGGGAATCTATTAGCAAATTCAATAGATCTACTAATAGGAATAATAGTTCCTCGATGTATATTATGACCAAAAAATCTGACATTAGTTTGAAACAAATTGATTTTTGATTTGGACACAGCTAAACCATTTTGTTTGACAACATTAATAAAAACATTTATATGCTTGAAATGCTGATCAATAGAATGAGAAAAGATTAAAATATCATCAATATAGACAATGACAAATTTGGAATAAGGATTGAAGATATCATTCATGATTTTCTGAAATTCAGAAGGAGCATTTTTAAGACCAAAGGACATTACATTCCATTCATATTGTCCAAAGGGAACAATGAAGGTCGTTTTGTATCTGTCTTCTTCACATATTTGGATTTGCCAAAATCCAGATTTCATGTCAAATTTTGAAAAGATTTTGGTAGAATTGAGTCTGTTAAGAAGATCTTTTTTGTTAGAAATAGGATACCTAATCCATTGAAGAGCTGGGTTAAGCAGTTTATAGTTTATAACTAACCTGTGAGTACCTTTTTCTAGTTCTGCTTGTTTATTAACATAAAAGGTAGAATAAGACCAATGACTCTTACTTTTTCTAATGAGTTTTTTGTCTAAGAGATCTTTGATTTCTTTCTGACAATCTGAAGGAGTATTTCATTCATTTGAATAAGCCTGGCCTTAGTAGGAATTTAACTATCTTGAAAATCTGACTCATAAGGAAGACTAATAATATGTTTCTTCATATTCCAGAAAGCATTGGGAAGATCAAAACAAATAGAACCATGGATAGAACCTAAAAGGGATTGGATCTTCTTCTGAAGTGATGAATTTTTTAATTGTTTTTCAATGTTAGCAAAAAAAATTCTTCTTTCAGAAAATTAATTTGATTAATTTTATTTTGAATAGAATTGATATTTTTAATAAAAGGTTTACTGAAAAATTTGAAAGTTATTTGTTTACCTAAATGATAGGTAGAAATACCTTCTTTCGAAATCTAAAATGGAAAAAAGGGCTTTAATAAAAGTTGTTCCCAAAATTACTTCATTTTTCAAATTTTTTATAAGGAGAAAGCCTGTTTCAATCTTAAATCTTTGATTTTCTATGACAGCTTTGGATAATTTATAATTAATTTTAAGCTTCGAACCACTAGCAGTACTGAGTTTTTCAGAGGTCTTCTCAAAATATTTTGTAGCAACTAATCCTTCTAAAATACAATTTGAATCAACACCAGTATCAAAGAGTGCCAAAGTATAAAAAACAAAATCATTAATAATGATTTTGATATTAGTATAAATTTTTTGAATTTTGACCTTGTTGATCAAACACATAAAAGTTTCTTTAATTTTTTCAGAATCATTATTCTCAAGAGGTTTTTCTTTCTCAACTTCAGATTCATCATCATCATTTAGTTGAAAAAGAGTAGCCTGATGAATTTGTTATTGCTCTTTGATATCTCTAATCTCCTTTTTGAGATTGTTAATCTCAATCTGTAAATTTTGGATAGTGGTTGATTTAATAGCCTGAAGTTTTATATATATATATATATATATATATATATATATTATTTTACTAACCGTTAGATTTAAATTAAATAAAAAACTCATATTAAGTGTAATATTTAGATTTACACTGGCGTAAGAAGATTTTATATATATATATATAGTTAAGTTGAGTTAGATTTCTCAAGTTGTAAAATGAGAGAGATTCAATATCTAAGTCTATGACGTTAAAACTTGATCATACATTTGTACTAAATTACTCAATCAAACTCACTAATTTTAGTTTAGTTTGAGTTAGGTTAATCAAATATAATGAGCCCGTGAACACCTGTAGTTGAAAGGGTATTAGTTATATTTTTTTTGTCTCTTCTAGTACTCCTTTTAATTGTTGGTTCATTATGCTTCATTTTAAATTATACGTTGCTTTGACAAAAAAAATATGTTACTTAAAGCAAGTTATAAATTTTTAAGAGATTTTAATTACATCAATTACTGCAACAAGAAAAAAATATTAGCTATAATGTTCTTATTAAAAGAGTTAAAGTGTAATAATGAATTAATACATTTAGATTATATATCAAAAAATAAGAGTATTATAAAAATAATTGACATTTTTTTTTAAAAGATAGAATATTTTAAATAGATTAAGACTTCAAAAATTACAGCTAATTTTAAATGGAAGGAGTGCAACTGTGTAAATTTTCTGGAGTATATTCCTACTTTCTTGACATTGTCAACATTCACAGAACAAAGTCAAAAATAATAAATAATTGTGCTGGAGGGTACCCACATAGAACCATTCACCGTTTGTAACGCCAATTTTTCATTCTGACAAGTCAAGTCTTCTACTTGCTGTCTCCTTCCAATAGAAGAGAACAGAAGAAAAAAAAAAAAGTTTCTATGGATCTTCAGGAGTGCTAATCTTCACCTAGTAAACGTGTGACTATTGTTCTTTCATGTGAAGAAACATGGAGTGTGAAAGCAATAGTTGTAAGCAGAAGCAGAAGCTTGAGGTACCTGATATCCTCAGAGAAGCTGTTTTGATCTTTTTCGGAAACCTCAACTTCATCATCTTCACTTTTCTCACTTCTCTTCCTCTATTTTGTATCATGGTTTACTTTGAAATTTACCTCCAAGAAATCTTTGTTGAAACCTCCAATATTGTTAACCTACCACATGTTCACTTCAGTCACTATGACTACAGCTACAGGGCAGATGACATTATAAGCAGATTTAACAAGGATTATTTCCTAAAGTTGATTCTCCTTGTATTCATTTACATGGTGCCTCTCTATGTCTTGGAGCTTGGTTCTGTAATTCTTACTATAGATTTGGCTTCAAAGCTACGTTCAAAGAAAATGACTCTCAAGGAGATGTTTCAGACACCCTTTGACCTATCAAATTTGAGAGGCTCATTTGTCACTTCAATCTATGTTCTTTTCTTGACAACTACTCACCAGCTTGGATTACTGTGGATAGTCATAAATTACAATGTTTTCTTGAAGCACTTGAGTTGTTATGTATTATTCGCTGTAATTTGTAGCCTGGCATTTGCAAAGGTCTTAAGGATGTATTTGGAATGGAGTGGTATGTGGAATATGAGTCTTGTCATCTCAGTATTGGAGGGAATATATGGTATTGATGCATTAGCCGTTTCAGCTTATTTCAACAGAGGGTATCACAAGAGGGGGCTCTTTTTGATGCTGATTTTCTTTGCCTGGGGGCATCTTTTGAGGCTTTCATGCTACCATATGGGAGGATATGAGAAAGGAAATGGAATTTTTGTACAAGTTGGCTTGTTCTGCCTCGTAAATCCCCTGAAATGGGTGGTCTGCATGATCTATTTCCTTGATTGTAAGGAAAGAAAATTGGCAAACAAGACTGAGGAATCAGGGAAAGATGTTGAGAATGGTGCGTGAATGAGAAGTGGTTGCTGTGCACAAAAATAAGGGAATCAATTTGAGGTCAGAGCAAAGATTAAGGTAGCTAACTGGTTAAGCAGCCTTTAAGGTGATCAATTAATAAATGTTATTTTCTACTGTATTATTAGTATTAGTGTATGATTTCAACCAGTTTCATTGCTAAAAAATATTTTGTTACATTGTCATTAGTCAGTTGCGAATTAAGCTTATACCGAAGTAGCTTTTATTAGTGTTTCACCGGTGCATGAATGTGTAGCTTATCCAGGCAATATGAAGAAACAAGCATCATTCCATCAAAACCATGATTTTCTTGCTATCCACTTAAATTACAAGAGTCTATTTGGAAATGATTAATAATGTGATTTACGATCGGTGGAATTTATCTCATCTGGTATCTAATTTGGGCTTTGCCTAGGGATGTAAATGTGTGGGTCATTGAGTTTCCAAATACCATTTTCCCTTTAGTCTAACAAAATGATGTGTACAAATGCTCAACATTTTCTTTGAAAAAAAGGTTTCAATTTTTTTACATCACATTGACAATGAACAGCATTCAAAGTTGATTTAACCAGCCAATGGATTAATCCCCTCTCCATGTTAAGAACACAAAGATTATGAAGTGGGGAATTTTGGCTTAAGGACTATAAATGCCATCACGTTTAAGCCGCAGTTAGGTTTTCCTAGACTTTGAATCCCAATGCTAATTTTAATCAATCAAAGAACAGTTCAGTCAACTGGTTTTCCATACTTTTTACCTACTGATAGAACCAATCAAGCCAACTGTATTCAAGACACAAGGTAAATCATAATAATGCATTTAAATTTTAAAATGGAAAAGAAAAAACCATTTGCACTAAACAAATTTTTTTCTCAAATCATAGTTCCACATTGTCAATCGTGTTTATGAGAAAAGTTATTGACAACTGAATCCTTCAACTATATCATTATCACCTAACACTAATTTCCTGAAACAAAACTTACTCTTCAGTGCTAAAATTAAGCTCTGACTTATTCCATGGTTCATTAATAGATGGACCAAAACAGCAAAGATGAATGTTGCACTTTTCTCAACAACCACATGAGCTCCTTCAGGCTCTTGAAAATCTTCTCAATTTTCTTTAGAACCAATTTTCCTCTTCGCAAACGATGGTAAGCAGAATGCTGCTGTATGCATCTGGAATTAAAGGCAAAGATAGAATTTAGATAAGAATTAGCAGTCCTGCAAAGAAAGGGAAAAAACGCAGAATCAAACAGAAGATGGTTGGGGAAGCACACCTCTGAGTTGTAAAATTTCAGTGGTCTTGCTGACTTCTGACACTCTTTTTCATCTATGGGATTCACTGGATGCTTGAAATCAACAGGTGGTCCCTCAGTTGCGCAAAGCATAAAACCAATCATACCACTGAAATGAAAAATGAAAGCAACAAAAAGCACATTATACAATATTTTGTCATGTACAACTAACTCACAATCTGCATTCAAGGAGGATGTAAAGAGAAAAAGATAACACGCCTTGTTCATAGGCACCTCAATTTCATTTTCCTAGGGCCATTTTCTGGCAGATTTAATATAAACCCATAATATGTAATACACATACGATAGGAGTGCATCTTGCAGAATTCAAATAAGAAAACTGGATTTAAAATAATTTGAAAAATCATACCTAGGGTATGTAGGAACAGTAGTCCAAGCATAGTTGACAGAGCCTTTAAAAATCTGGCGACAATTGGTCACAATATTTTCAATTATATCCATATGAAGCCATATACTTTCTGCCTGTGTAGAGACAACTCCTCCTGGACGAAGAGCCTTTGCAACCGACTCAAAAAAGGGCTTTTCGAACAGCTCCTGAGCAGGACCTTAAGCATACCAAATGTAATATCCCTTAAACAAAACAATTCCATTTCACAGATGAGCAGGAAACTATAATGTATTACAAATATGACATACCAACAGGATCAGATGAATCCACTATAACTGCATCATATGTTCCTTCTGGAACTTCCTTCAGAAATGCAACTCCTAGACCAGTATGAGAAAATCTATCTGAGATAACATCTCCAGAAAGAATAAACTATTTAAGGAAAAAAAATTTAGAATAGCTGATCATACCATCACCAATACGAAGTGTTACCCGAGGATCCTCAAACCCTACAGCTACATCAGGGAAAAATTGTTTCGAGATCTGCAAAGAATGAAGACATAAATTTTGATGTTAAGCATATACTACTACTTGAAAACTCTGAGCAATATAGAGTAGACTTTTTAGGCCAACTTAAAAAGAACATAACAGCTATAACCAAATTCCTTAAGTAGAAAAATCCAAACAAATCAAGAAAATTATATAAAATAGAGGGAACTAATTATATGAGTAACATAATAGCCTGCCAGCAACATAATTAGCTTTGGTTAGAGAACCAAAGACAGAAAAGAAACAGAGTAAAATTACGTGTGTTACTCACATCAACAACCATGTTGTCAATTTCACAAATGTCTATCTTTTCAACTGAAGAATGACGTGATACTTCTCGCAGGACCCCTCCATCACCTCCACCAATTACCAAAACCTGAAAAAAAAAATAGTAATAAAAACAGTGCAAAAATTCAAATTTTGATGACTAAACGTGCAACCTAGACATTGAACAAAATTTTCTGTAAGCATAAAAGCTAGACCTTTTTAGGATTTGGAATAGAGCAAAGAGGAAGATGAGTGATCATTTCCTGGTAGGCACATTCATCCCTTTCTGTGAGCTGAATGACTCCATCCAAAACAAGAACCTTGCCATATGTTGATGACTGCAGAAGACATTATAGCAAAGCATCGAAAATAAAGATAGGAACATGAAAAGGGGAAAATTGTAATAGTAACTTCATAATTTACTGGAACCTCATTTACCTGGAAGACCATTATATTCTGGTATTCAGACTTTCCTTGAAACAAAATTTTTTCTACCTTGAAGGAGTGAGCCTCTCCTACAAAATTACAACCATATTTTTATTCAAGTGTATTACTACAATTGACAAATCCAAAATTTCAGAGTTTCATCCAAATAAGCAGATTACTACGTGCAAAAATTTCTACCGATTTTAGCAATTCTTTGGTTTCTGTAAACATTGATGCCATAACATTTACTCAAAGAAATTCATTGCCAATAAAATATAATTTGAAGAGCTACTTTTGTTACTGATGAAAAGGATGTGTGTTCAACCAAAATAATATGTAGCTAGACAACAAGATCAAAGGCAATGGTCCTTAGATAACATGACATCCAAAACAAAAGACTACAAGAAAATTAAATGATTCTTTTTTATTCCCTAGCCTAGGTGTGCATGCATTTACAAGCAAAATAGCTATGATAAAAATTGCATCCATGTTAGTTAAAAGTAAGTTCTGTTTTTAAAAAAAAGGCTGGTAGAGAGAAGAACGGGAAAGGTTCAATCCTGAAAATCACAATAGCACATATTATTAAATGGGGAAGAAAAGAAAGTCCTGAAAAGGCGGAGATTAGACCTTCTCTGTGATGGCATACAATAACAGCCTATTTAAATTAATGAAATATTTGAGTTTTCATTAACAGTTATAACTCTGCGCTTTACTCTCAAAACTGCACTGCTGGAGTCAAGTCCTTTTGATACAACCATCATTCACTTTGTGTGGAAACAAATACCCAAAGATCACAGAGAAGAGACATTATTAGAGCAAGTCTGAAAGGGGCTAGACCATTGATAGATAGATAGGGAGATAAATAGCAACTCAAGTTTTAAGAGGAATTCATTTCAACACATTTGAAAGTTAAAATTCTTGTATTACCACAAGTTTCATATTAGCACACCCTTTATTCACGATAAATTTTGGGTCTTAAATAGGATCACCACATCAAGCAGAATTGGCTAAGCACAACTGTGAGTGAATGCCAAACTACCACATGTTCAGGTATCAAAATAAAATAAAATAAAATAAAACCAGAACTCCACAGATCATTCAGGCAGATAAGGGGTATATATAAAAAAATATTAAAAAGGGGCTATAAATAATCAGTTATAGATAAGAACCAAAAATAATAAAAATTTAAAAATCGTTGCTCCATGAGAGCAACTATAAGAAGAAACCTGCAAAAAATACATACAACACACGTGAAGGTACATGCCAGGGCGATATTATCATATTAAGGAACATGGCCATTGTACATCAGGACATAAAAACAGAAACAATTCATCATACACCAAATTCAGAACTGCGACAAAGAAAAAGCAAGAGTTTTTACAGAAATGATAAAAAAGATACCTGAACCGTAAAACCAAACCAATTATCGAATCCAAATCTCTTAACATAGAAACAAACCCCACAAGAGGAGGAACACAGAATCAACACAAGTTCTTTCCTTCATAACCACAGACCAAACAAACAAATTGAAAATTAAAATTTTTCCTTTGCCCGCAACAAAACACAACAAAAAGGCACAACTTTTGGAAACAACAAACAAAAGGGTATGGTAGAAAAGGAACAAACCAGGCCACATTGGACTGATTTCAGAGAACCACCCAGGAATCACCGATGATAAACCATTACTATCAGGGTCTTTGCCACCCTCCATTTCCATGGAAACTGAGACCCCATTTTCTTCATCATCTCTTGGCCTCTTCACTGGTGATTCAACAACGTTCTCTGAAGCAGCCATGGCCAAACCCCCCCTCTCTCTCTGATCTCTCTCTAACAAAAGGGTGATAACGAATTTTCAGGTAGCACTCTGTTTGGCTCTTCTTGGGTTTGTGAGATATTATTGGGCAAATGGAATAGCATAAAGGGTAAAAGAGCGTGGGCCATGTTGGAATATAGAAAGGAATCTGCTTTTAAGGGACGCGTTTGAGGTGTGTAGTGCTTTGGGATTGGTGCTTCGAGGAAAGGTGAATGTTTTCCCAAACACTGCCTTAGGATATGCATGTTACGTGTTGTTTCTTGTAAGTACATGTGATAGTGATCTCAATTAGGGTTTCTTTGGGATTAGGGTACTTTCTCGCGTGTCCCTCCTTTTTGTTTTGCCTTAATCTTTGATAATGCAAGAGTTTTACCATATCTTTGTCTCCTACATACAATGTGACCTACCATTGTTCTTATCCTTTTTATTTAAGACAACTCCTTATCCTTTTATTTTAGATATAACTTTGATGTAATGTTAAAATCTTTTTTGGTTTTTTTTTTTTTTACAAAAGTTTCTATTTAATACCTCTTTTTATATGTTGATTTATAATTTGAGATTATTTTTAGGGATTATGTTGGAAAGCAAAGGATATCCATTATGTATGCATTATCTAAGAGTTCTAGATCAGGTATCATCGAATTTCTTCGAATGTTTGAATTGGAATTCAAGTTATGTTGCAAGAACAATTAGGATTAAGGGAGAGTTCTAGAAAAGTGACATATCAAATGGTATTTATTAAATTTATTTTTGTAAGAATGATACTTACTAAACTATGCTGCTTACAAACAAAATAATTATTCAATTTTTGCAAATAAAATCAGTTATATATCACATAATTTTTTTAAAATAAAAATAATTTAAATTTAGCATCTCTTAAAAACTATGAGAATATAAAACTCCAACTTTAACCTTTAGAAAATTCAGTCCAGGTCCGAATTCGGTATCTTTGAGTATCATTTAGAAAATTCACCCCATTAATTCCTTAAAAAATAAAAATAAACTTATTTATAAATCACTTAGATTAATTCAATATTGAGTTCTTTAAGTTTGTTTTCAAATTAAATTCAGAGCTTCACTGTAAAATTGTGAAAAAGTGACCCATTGAAGTGTAACCTCTACTCTATATATGTTTTTTTTTTTTTAATCTTCATGATTAGACTTTACAAATTTATTTTAATCATCTTCATCTTAGTTATAGTCATTACAATAGCTATTTTTCTTTGTAAAGATTCTTTAAATGTGTTGGGGGGTTGTTTGTGTGTTTTTTTTAACCGCTAAAAATTGATACCTTCACCTTTTTTTAGCTTATTCTTTTAAAAATTTGTCTAATAAATATTTTAAAAAAATTGAAACAATTAATAGATTTTTAGTAATTTTTGTGTATAATTATCAATGAAAGTCAGTTACCTTAGCGGTTTAAAACCACTAATATAGAATCTTAGTCTATCTTAATGCTCGTATATTTAATGATTTGACCCATTTGTATAAATGCTTCAAATAGCTAAAAAGAAATCACTTTTGTGGTGATGAATATGCACAGGTCAAAGTAGAAGGTTTTCAGATCTTTTAAACACGTAATCTTAGTTATAATTTTGAAATCCATGAGTATAAAAATTAATATTATCATTGTGAGAAATATCTACTTTAACATCTAATCATACCTCATTCAAAATATCTAAATGCCTCGTCACTATAATTCATTTTTAATGATTTATAAAAGCAACAAAGCTTATAATAAAAGGAGTTGACTCTTTCGACAAAAGTATTCTTTAGATTTCTTGTTAGTATAAAGAATAGATATTAATGCTAAGATAAAGTAACTCTTGCACTAAAGAAGAATCAATATTTGTATATAAAAATTAAAGTAACTTGATAAATAACATGGGTTGATACATTTGTAGGCAAATTAAACAAGTAAAAATATATTCGTCTAAAGTTAATTAGTAGCTTAATTTATGATACATTTTAGATTAAATTAATAATCAATCCTTACGTAATCACTTAAAAAAATCTATTTTAAAAGAATTTTTTAAACTTTCACAATCATTCAAAGCGTGTCACCATTTTAGTTAAGTTTTAGAACAATGATTAAAAAAATTTAACCTGTTAAAGATATGTGAAATACTTCTTATATATGTTTTTCATGGATATATTGATTTTAATAAGATGATAACTTTATTATTCCTCCAAAATGAAAAGAACAAAAGTATCAAATCAGTGTACATAAAGTGATTCTCTTAGTATTCTTTTCCGTCCAACCAATCAGTGGGAGTCAACATGACCCCTTTTCTTTCCACGCCATATTTGAATAGTCAAATTGTCCAACTTTAGTTGCAATAGGATTTTCTTTTTTAATTTTGTAATATTTATTTTTTATTTTAAGTAATTCTTAAATGATGGCTAAATAAATAACAAGTTTATAGATTCCTTAAGCTTTCTTAAATTGATATCTTGCATGATTATTGGAGATATTAATTTAGAGAAAAGAATATTAATATTGCATGACCATTGAATATTAATAGTATTCGTATGAATGATTGGTAATCACAAAGAAATTGGATTTCGAGTTAAACAGAAAAATAACATAAATGATTGAATGAGAAAACTCATATGCCTTCGATAAGTTTAACCAAGATGTGCATTGTATTCCTTACTCTTAGTTTTATAATTAATTTTATAAATTCTTGTTTTAATTAATTTCGTATATTTGAAACTTAAACAATTGAATTAGGAAATTCTTAGTAATTGAAAATCAGTCCTTGTGAGACGATATTTCGGGAACTTAATTTAAGAACCCTTTATTACTTCTTGATGGATACACTTGCCCTTCGAACAAGTTTTTGGCGTCGTTGCCGGGAATTGCTTTTTTCAATATTAAGAAAATCTCAAATTTAATTAATTTGAGCAATTTATTTTTTACTTTATTTTAATTCTATTTTGTTTATTGTTAATTTTTTTTTTATTTTATTTTATTTTATTTATTTTATAATTTCTTTTAATGTATGCTCACTCGTTTTAAGTATTCTACAGCTTGTTTATTTGATTCGAAGATTGAGAGAATAATGCGTAGACAAAGAAAAGAAGTGAGAGAGCAAAGAATGGCAGAGAGAAGAAGATCAATCTAAGATTACATGACACCTACTGCTAGAGGCATCCCCTTGAAGCATCGCAACTCCTAATGTGGAGGCCAACAATTTTGAACTTAAACCAGCCTCATAACCATGGTCCAGAACTCCATACAGTCTGGAGGCATGCCTAACGAAGATCTCAATCTCCATTTGTCAAAGTTCTTATGATTAACTGATACCATCAAATACAATGGAGTCTCCAAAGATGCTATTCGACTCCGCTTTTTTTCCTTCTCAGTATCTGAAAAGGTGAATGCATGATTTTTCTCACTCCCAGCCAATTCCATCATAACTTAGGAAGATCTAACTCAGCAATTCTTAGGAAAGTACTTCTCCTCATCAAGGTCCTCTAAGCTTATGATGGAGATATGTTGTTTTCAACAATATGAAGCAGAATCCTTATTCAAGGCATAGGAGCGATTTGGAGAGCTTTTGAGGAGGTGTCCTCATCATGATTTCCCGACATGGAGACAGGTGCAAATCTTTTACAGTGGCTTATCAATTTTCATCAGGGTTACAATTGATGTCGCAACACTGCTGACTCTTACAACATCAAGAGGAAAGAGATTGCCTTAGTTTACTAAGCAGAGAGCAGCAGTCCACTAATGAATCAAATGACAGCCCTTGCAAAGCAACTAGAATCTTTACTGAAGGCTCAAGACTAACCTGTAAGAGCTCCTGGAAGCTCAGAATTTAAGCAAAATGAGGCAAATTTCATAGATAATCACAATTCGAGGTGGAGGAGTAATCCTCCTAACTCTTGCAAGAATGGCTTTGGAAGTTAAAATTCAAGCGTGTATCGCCATTCCCATATGCAAAATCAAGGAGCAAGACAAGGAGGGAAAGAAGCTCCTATATCTTAGTCCAACTTTCAAGAACAAATATGCAATATGTGCATTACTCTGATAAGATGATGACAGAGCTTGAATCCAAGTTGGACCAGCATATTGAGAGAACTGATAAGAAGTTTGCAGAGGTCAAATATGAAATACAAGCCAACTTTTTTAAGATGAGTGTATAATTAGAGCAAATTACGAACCTTCTGAGTCAAAGAGTGATAGAAACACTATCGTCTCAGCCTAAACCTAATCTAAGGGAGCAATGCAATGTCATCACCCTTAGAAGTAAAAAAAAATTACAAGAATCGCAAAACAGAGGCACATGCATGCCCATGCTGATTCTACAAGCACACCCGTGCTTATTGATGAACACGCCCTGCTGAAATTGAAGCATGACCGTGCTTATACAAGCACGCCGATGACAACGATTACAGCACAGCCGTGCATCACCATGAGCAAGGTCGTGCTTCAAGCGAGGAGCCTGAAAATGAAAAGAAAGAAGAGACTATTGTTCAACAAGGTCCTATGAGCCTAAAATACCTTTTCCATAGCGACTGTAAGGTCACCCTCCTTATGATGAAGAGTTCCACAAGTTCTTAGACTTATTAGGCAAAGTGCACATCAATATGTCTTTCATTGATGCTATTTTCAAAATGCCCAAATATGCTAAATTTTTAAAGGAGATTTTAACCAATAAGAGAAAGTTGAAAGCACATGAAACAGTGAGGCTCACCTAGGAGTGCTCAGCTGTAGTCCTTAAAAAGCTTCCACCTAAGCTTAAGGACCCAGAGAGTTTTACTAGTCCTTGCATGATTGGAAAAACTCATATTGATAAGGCTTTATATGATTTAGGAGCAAGTATTAATCTTATGCCTTATTCTGTTTTCAGGAAGCTTAGAATGCATAAACCTAAGCTTACCTCCATGTCACTTCAACTAGCAAATAGGTCGATCACATACCCCAAAGGCATAATGGATAATGTACTTGTAAAAGTTGGGGAGTTTATATTTCTGGTTGACTTAGTGGTGCTTGACATGGAGAAAGATGATGATGTCCCCATCATACTAAGAAGATTGCTCTTGGGCACTGCAAGGGCTATCATAGACGTACAAGAAGGGAAGCT